GCAGAAATAATTATTTCATTTCATTTTTAAAACGAACGGATTATTTTTCAAGATAATGAAGTCACTTACCTAAAATATTTGAGAGGGAGCTTCCGATAAAAATTCGGCTAGAGCGAGAAAGAGCTCACTGCGTTTCGACTAAAGAGAGAGATCTCAAAACTTTCTAAGGTGGGAATCCTCACCTCTCCGAATTTAAATTCTTATAACATATTATTATATTATTTTATTAGGCTCCACCTCATACCTGAGGTGTTACCTTAATATTATGCGAGAGGCGATTAAGGCCCACGTCAACTAAGGACGTGGTAAGAGAAAGGAAAAAGCTTAAAACAGAAGCTATTGAAGATAGTGATGGTCCCTAAGGACCATCATGCTCATATGGACATCACTTATTAAAAGTTTCTTTTCTCTCTTTCCTTTTTTTTTTTTTGTTTTAGAAATTTTAGGGTTATTACACAGGGTCTTTCTCAATCGTTTCCTCTGCGTCCTTCTGGTGTTGATTCCTTCGAATTCTCTATCGAGAGCCTCGAACTCAGGACATTTCAAGGTTGTACCTGCAGGAGACATAAGAGAACAACGATGAGAAGTAGAAGAAGAAGAAGGAGGAAGGTTAGAAAGTGGGGAATTTTTATGGTCGTTCCCCTCATCAGACCGTTCTAAGTGGCATTTTACGTCATCACCAGGGTTGGATGCGTGCAGAAAATCTTTTAGGTCTTTCCCATGCTTAGACCGTTGGGGACTGCTTTTAATGTTGTCACCATAATTGGACGTGCTCTGAGTTGAAGATGACTCTGGGAGGTCCTCTCTATGAGAAGGAAGAAGGATCATGCTAGGAATGAAATCCAGTAAAGTTCGCAGTGGGGGAAGGGGCCTGAGAAATTTCTGCTTAACTGGTGGTTGAGCAGTCTTGTTTCTCCGACAAGCAGCCCTTGGTGCCCGTCTCTTTCTAGTTTTTTGAGGTAGTGTTTGATTCGTCTCATTGGGCTTGTGAACAATCTTAGCTTAGCGGACTGCTTCTCGCCTTAAAGACTTGAGTCTGCTTTGCCCATGGTGGACTATCCATGGCTGAGAAGTCGAGGGTTCAGCAGAGTCTGAATCATTACTGCGAAGGTCTTGCGTTGGAAGATCCTCTTGTATTAGCGGAGTAGTGGCTTTGGGATCACTTACTGGGAGGTTATAAAACTCATGACATTCCCGCATTATTTTTGCGAATATATCATGGAAACTGGTGAATTCCCACAGATAGTGGCCCCTTATTTGGTGATAAGGGCACCAACGGTCCTCAGTCCCCAGAGCAAGGCGTCAAGACTGCCTTGCAGGTTTCATGTGATTATGCCTTCCTGAAGCATTATAACAGAGAAGGCGTAAAGGATTTCAGGGGCTTCATCTTCTTCCTGGATGGTTACTGCATAGGAGGCTTCTGCTGCCCCTAAGGCCTTCTTTAAGTCTTCAAGCTTTATTTGACCCTTTTAGATCAGGGCCTCGATAATATCTTTTAGCATGTAGCAGTCATCTGTGGGATGATTGATCCTTCGATGGTAGGCACAATAATTTGCTTAGGTGTCGAGCTTAGCTTGCTCAAGAAACTTGGCTTTTGGAAGCTTGATCATGTTTTGTTCTAACAATAACCGAAACAGTGCAGGGACCCATTCTTTCTCAAAGGGGTAGACCTTGTTCCTCTGCCTGGTGAAATAATCACCCTGATCAAGATTGGCCGGAGGGGTACTCGGTTGTATGACTGTTGTTGCTTGCCTGCCTGGGGAGCTGTCTTAGCTGTGCTCACCCGTTTGGAGAAGTCCAAAGTTTGGGAGGGAGCCTTCTTCGAATCATTAACAGTGATGGCTGCACTGATTACTCCTTTTTGTTGGATGCCCCGGGTGTTAGTCCTAGAGCTGCCATTGCCCGGTTGTTCCCTGAGCTTACAGGCTGTTGTCGTGACTCGTTATGGTGGTGTGATAGAATTTCTATGCGGACTGATTCAGAGATTAGTTCTGACATGGAAGTCAGATTAGAGGCCTCAACATGTAGAGCGATCTGGGGTCGCATGTTCCGCACACAAGTTTGGACTGCTTCCTTCTCGGGCATAAGATTGGGATGACGAGGGCCAAATTTCTCCATCTTGATATGAACTGGTCCACGGGCTCATAAAGATCTTGAGTCAGGGTGAGAAGTTCAATGGTTTGAACCTCTCTCTTGACCTCATAGAACCGCTGGTGGAAAAACTTCTCCATTTCCACTGGTGGCAAAGGATGAGGGTCAGGGACCGGAGTCATCTTTGGCTAGGGAGGATGAAGGACTCGATCTTCCATCAGGTGTTTTCTCCGAGCTCTCTTGTGGGTTTCAGAGACATGAGCGAAATAGCGAGGCTAGTTCAAGATGGTACTCTTGAGGAAGGTCTTCGAGTACCAAGGCTGAAGGAGCTTGCTCGAAGAAGGAGGAGCAGGAAAAAAAATGGGTGACTCATGAGGACGCCTGAGTCGAGGGCAAGGGGGTATCTATGAAAGCAATGCGTGTGCACCCTGAGAAGAAGGATCACGGGTGACCTGAGGGTCAGCTCGAGCTCAAGCAAGTTGTTTGGCCTTAGGAGGTCGAGAACTACGAGCAGGTGTTCAGAGAACAGGTGGAGACCTGCTCCTAACAGGGTGCGCTTGTTTGTGCAGAGTAGGAGGATGAGAAGATCGTCTCCTCTGTACTCGGGTTGGTGCATCAACGGCGTTGCCTTGAGTAGTGAGATGCATATGAACAGCGCGCGCAGGACCTAGCCTTGGAAGGTTCAATCCTTAACACGGACTCGAGGTAACATAAGGGTTGCCCCGAGGTGTGGCTTGAGTGGGTGACCCACGAGCCTTGTGCTGTGTGTGAGGGGTGGAGGCCGTAGGGCCCCCGCCTTGATGTATCGAGCCTCTAGGGATAGGGACTCATGGTGGTGCAGGAATGTGAGGGGTAGCCTTGCGGCAACACACAAAAGCAATGATAACTTGCTTGCCTTTTGCAGAAAGGGACTGAGCAGCCTTCCGGCATACCTCGGCAATACGACCGACAAGTGACTTGCTGGTGGTAGGGTGAATGCTGTGTGGGGCAATAGATGTGTTGCCGATGTAAGGCGCCTTGATGGAGGTTCCACTAGAGCGAGGAGATGGGGAGTTAGATACTTTTAGGTCCCTCCTCATGCCAACCCAGATTAAGACTTGGGAGCTAGATCCGGGGTCTTTGCTCAAAAGAATGGGAATGAAGTTAAAGGAACTTTTTCCATGGGGACACTCGCGAATGCAGAGAAGAGAAAATCCCCGATTCGGATGAAAGGGTTGCAAAACCCAGCAGCCATAAGTGTAGATACAAAAAATTAAAGGAGAAAATTAGCCAAACAAGTACGATTCAACTAAGGGGTAGTAAGTTCCCAGTGGAGTCGCCAAGCTGGTTAGGTGCCTCGATCTCGCCCTCCGGATATGGATGATCGAGTGGCACGCGGCTCGGGTTTTGGGGAGACCCGGGACTTTGAGATCGCTCTCTTGAGAACCTCATTCAAGAACACGGGCAAGTATTACGATGAGAGAGGAATTTAAAGTGGGTTCTGGACTTACTCGGGCAGGCTCACGTGGGTGCCCTCTTAGATCATGAAGAAAACCCCCCAATAGTAAAACTGGTTCGAAATCGCATCCCTTGGCTTGTATTCTCCTGTTTTCTTACTGAAACTTGTTTTCTTACTGAAGGGTATCGACCCTTTTCTTCTCACTCCTCTTTCTCTCTCTCCAAGACGCACCCACGAGCTTAAGCAAAAATGAAGTCTTTATTGAATCTTTAAGAATGAACCCAATAAGTGCTTTACAATGAAGCTTTGCATGTTTATATAGAACTGGGCTAAAACATGAGTGTACACCAAAAAACTACCTAGAATTGAAGATAATTATAATTTAATTAAATTAAAAGAAATTCTATAAATGGGTGCAAAAAGCCTGTTTTGCCTCTGCCTAACAATGTGTGGAATTCCAGAATAGTCCCTGCTGCTGCTCGAGAACTTGCATGATCTTCCATGACTGATCCGAGATTGTTCTAATGACCGTTTGATCGATAGATGATTGTTTTCTTGTGGGGCTCAGCATGGCTATCGATTTGATATCAACTTCGAGCCATGAATCATGTTTTTGAGCCATGATCATGAAACTTGAAATTTGCTTGAATCTTGAAAACTTTGGATCCATTGTGTGGCCATTCCTTGATGTTTTTCTTCAATTTTTCATTGAATCACACTGATTATAACTTCATGATCACGTTGCAACGAACATAGCTCGATTTCGTGTCCGAATGAAGATTTTATCGTCTTGAGTTTTTGGTCGAAATCTTGAAATTCGGTGATCGAAATTTATAGCAGCTTTTACACCTCCGTGTGTAAAATAAAAATGTTCATCATACACAAGATTCAGACCGGAGATAGCCATAGACCTTATGCACAAAATGCAATTGGTTTCATGTCGATCGGGTACACGAGCGCCATGATTTGGCCCTTGGAGTGAGACATGCTGCTGCTGAATTTTCTGCAATTTTCTTCACGGATCAGTAACTTCTCTCTAGTTTTTCACTTTGCTCGGGCATTTTCATGGGGTGTACCACATATCAAAATTCTCATCTTGATAAGATGAACACGCACACAAATTTGAGCTCGATCCGACCTGGACCGAGCAAGATATGAGGTCCAAAAGTCACTGCTCGTGTAAAAATAACCACTTTTAATGGTGTGTTGGTGCAAGGTGGTCACACAAGAATAATGTGCGGCCTACCCATTTTTGGTATTTTACCCATAACTTTATCCTGGAGTGCCCGATTAAGCCGAAACGAGGTCCATTTCTGGGTGTTAGAGGCCGATTTTGTCGAAATTGTTTCTTTGTGTTCATTACTTTACACATGTTTGATCGCGATGAAACTTGGCAGGTGGCCTTTTGGGGTGATGATGAAGATCGTGATCAATTTTGGGGCAATTTTGAGACTGTCAAAATTTCTATTGTTTTGTAGGCTTTATTGACCTGCTTCCTCTTTATTTCTCATCAAGGATCAAGGTGCTGAAAAATACGTTCAAATATAGTGATGATGCATCTTTAGAAGGGAATTTAAATGAGTTTAATTTCTTGATTAGCAAGTTGATGTCATTGGATGTAAAGATCGATGAAGAAGACAAAACAAGTATTTTACTTTGTTCTATGTTGGAATCTTGGGATGGAATAATTATGAATCTCAGTAGTGCAAATTCTCTCAAATTTCATTATGTTGTTTCTGCACTTTTGATAGAGGAGTCTAAGTGAAAGTCTGGTTAGGATTCCTATGGGAATGTGTTTATATCACGGGGAAAATCAATGGAGAGAACTACGGGTAGAGATAAATCAAGATCCAAATCAAGATGGCGTTAGAAAGTAAAGTGTTGGAGCTATGGAAAGTTAGGCCATATGAGGAAAGATTGTAAGGCATAGAAAGGGAACCATGAAGTCCCTAAATCTAGTTCTAATGAGAAGATTAGTTCAAGTGGTTCTTAGGGAAATCTAGTAGAAGAAATTTCATTTTCTGAAGATGGAGAAGTTTTGTCTGTGGGTAAGGAAGAAGTTTGGTAGTATTGGCCACTTGATTCAGGTGCATCCTTTCACATGACTCCACATGGGGAATGGTTTTATAAGTACCAACCATATGATGTAGGCATTATTTATATGAGAAATAATGATTCATATAAAATAGTGTTGGAGATGTGAGATTCAAGATGTTCAATGGAGTCATAGTGTCAGACATGTTTCGGGTCATAGAAGAAGTCTCTTGCCCTTGGGAAAATTTGATAAGCAATGTTTCAAGTTTACAGGTGAAAAAAGAAATCTGAAAATTTCAAAAGGAGTATTAGTGGTTGCAAAAGGAGAGTTAGCAGACAATTTGTACAGACTTGTTAGTGAAATAGTTTTGGGAGAGGTCGCTACTGTAGATGTGGACTCTGTTATGATGTGGCACACACGTTTGGGCCATATGAGTGAACGCAGACTCAATGTACTTCTCGATAAAAACCTTCTCCCTAGTTTAAAATCTTTTAATTTAGATTTTTGTGAGTCGTGCTTATTTGTAAAGCAGAAAAAATTGTGATTTCCTTTATCCACCGGTAAATGCATGGATTTTTTAGAATTGATTCATTCGGACACATGGGAATCACCTATTATTTCTTTGGGGGGTACTGCATATTTTGTCACTTTAATTGATGATTTTTCCAGAAAAGTGTTGGTTTATATGCGGAAAAAGAAATCAGATGCCTTTAGTTGTTTAAAAAATTTAAGGCCTCTGTAGAAAATCAGAAAGG